GGACAGGACAGTAGAACTGCTCCCCAGGGTTTTCTGGGACTGGAAATCTTTACAGAAGCAGAACTGGGTCAGTTTTCTTCCACAGAGCACCGGGTGGGCTCAAATCACTAGCCTGTTGGTTTGCATCCCAACACGTCAACCATTGGGCGCTTACCTTTTTTATATATCAAACTCTCAACTCTTACCGCTTGGGAATAGGATGAGGGCAAAAAGATGAGAGAGAACTTGATATGTCACTGCACACTTTTAAAATAGTGGACATATATTACCTGTATACTAACAGTGTTTTTAAAATGGAAACTAATTGTGTTAGGCTGGGTTAGCTAGAGAAACAAATCCAGTGACACTCATTGTGTTAGACCAGGTTGACAAGAACTTTATATCAAAGAGCAATTGTATATTAATAGAACATCCTAGCCAAGTCCAGATCAAGTCCATAAGGCCAAGATTAGCCCATAAATCTATTACTAGTCCATAACACCCTCTTCAGACTCACACATACACATGTAATAATGCAAAATGCAGGAAGATCACAGGCTGGTGGGTGAAAAGTCTTGTGGATCCAGTGGTAGTGAGAACATCTCAGTGCTGGCGTGGGTCTCCATGTGGCTCCTCCAGCTCTTTTGACTGTGGCTCTTCAACAGGAAGGTGAAGCAGAGAGAGGGACCTCCTCCTGGGTCTCCCCAAGTCTCCATGTGGCTTGTCAGTAGGAAGACGAAGGCAGAGAGAGGAAGTTCCCAGAATCCCCATGAGAAAACCATGCCCACAAGGAGACATCATCAGGCTGTGACCTGATTGACAGGCTAGACTCCACCTCTTCACTTATTTATCAAGTTGACATGAAATTATGTAACTACCACACTCATATATGTCTAAGAAAGACTTTATATCAAGAAGTAGTTATATATTGAGAAAACATCCCTGCCTGGTCCATAAGTCTGATACTAGTCCTTTTTTTAGTCATTTTATTAGGGGCTCATACAACTCTTATCACAATCCGTACATACATCAATTGTGTAAAGCACATTTGTACATTCATTGCCCTCATCATTCTCAAAATATTTGCTCTCCACTTAAGCCCCTGACATCAGGTCCTCATTTTTTCCCCTCCCTTCCCGCTCCCCACTCCCTCGTGAGCCCTTGATAATTTATAAATTATTTTGTCCTATATTGCCCTGTCCGACGTCTCCCTTCACTCACTTTTTCTGTTGTCCATCACTAGTCCTCTTCATATTCATGCAGCCACATGCAATGATGCAGAATACAGGAATATCACAGGCCGGTGGGTGCAGAGTCTTGTGGATCCAATGGGGGTAGACCCATCTCCAGGGGTCTGGCAGGTCTTAGAGTGTCCCGCTAGCAGGAAGGTGAAGGCAGAGAGGGAGAGCTTCCCAGGACCCTCCTTATGAGAACGGCAGGCCCACGAGGCACCATCAGGCTGTGACTTGATGGAGAGGCTAGACTCCACGCCTTCACTTCTATATCTTCAAGTGACATGAAATGATGCAACCACCACAGTGATTGATACTAAAACTGTTTTAAAAGCTGAAACCAAAAACGTAATACTTGGCTTCCAAAAATAGTTTTGTTTACCCAAAGCCCCCAGTACAATACATGGGACTTTAAATGTGAGTTGTGATGGAAGTAACATGTTTGCACTCATTCTTATACACTGGGTCCATATGTATTTTTATGAGAAACCTTGTATTTGAAATATGTTGTAGTACTAATTCTTTTTTGTTTTTTTATCTCCCCATAGGAATAAGAATCTTGACAATTTCCTCATGGCATTATTATACTATTTATCTCATTTTTTAGAGAAAATCTCACTGGAAAAAAGCCCC